TTAGTCGAGGAAAAATATAAATATTAATTTTGCCGCGTTGCGACGCGCGGTCAAATTTTGGCGCCGTTGCCGGGGAGTAGTGTTATTGAATTGTAATTTTTAAGTACTAATTGAATTATTTTATTTTATTTTATTTTATTAGGATTTTATTTTTATCATCTTTTACCCCCCTCTTTTTCTTTGTTTTTGCTTACTTGCAGAATACTGGGCGCCCCCGTGCTCTGCTGGACAAAAATGTTTGACCCCATACTCGCGGGTTAATTGACGATTTTGATCGAGCTTGGCGCATTTTTCGAAATGACAGCCTATTATCACGACTTTTATACCCACCAGACACCTTACCAATATGAGAGGGAGATGCGAGGCCCGTGGATTGGAGATCGAGACGTAAGAGGACCTAGTGGTTGGCAAAGGAACGAGCAAGACTACTTCTATACCGATGAGTATGGATACCACTTGAGAGAGCACTCGAACTCTTTCTATGGGTACTCCGAGCCACCAATTGATCCCAGCCCGTCTGTGGAGGATATGGTAGAGGCATTAGCGTTTAACACATTGAAAGTTCGGCAAGAGTTCTGCGAGCCCATTGTTGAGAGAGATCCTGGTCCGTCACTTGATGATATGATTATGGAGTTGACGGCTAACACCCTTAATTTTCAGCAAAGTGTTAAGACGAGCCTCGAGAGCCAAGGGATGCGCATAAGGAATTTGCAAGGCCAAATGAGCCAATTGGCGGAACAAATAGACCGACTAGTGTGTCGGATCGAAACGATTCCAATGAGTTCAAGCGTCACCCATTCGAGCAGCGAGGACCCTGAAGAGCCTGAAGAGTGCACATACGAGCCAGAGAACGAAAAAATCACTAATATAGAGAAAGCAGAGTCGAAGCAGCAGAGTACTGGGGTACCCCGTACTCGACTTGCTGGACCCAGTACTCGACCTGCTGGAGCCGAAAAGCGTACCGTTCTCCCCGCTCTTGTGCCGATAGAAGCTAAACCTTGTTTTATCTCTTCCAATATGAAATGGGTACTGAGTAAAGATGCACTGAAGCATGTCTTGAGCCTTAATATCCAGCCCCTTGAGACGAACGAGCACAACGAAAGGTGTAAGTGGGAGTTTAATGAGACGATGGTCGTGATTGAGCATGGGCTGCTACATATTCTTGAGGAACTAGCATCATGGAGGAAAGATCCGGTGAAGCATCCAACGCTGAAAAGAATAAATTTCAATAAGCATGGGGCCGTGAGATTGATGCCTCCCTTGAGGCCACCTCCGAAGCCGCCATGGACCCTTTGATGAAAAGGAAGTAATAAGTCGGGCCAACGACAATAAAAAGAGGCGCTTGTTGGGAGGCGACCCAATGATGTGCATGGTTCGGTGACTTCTTCCGCATTGACTAAGGTGAACTCGTTTCTTTTACATCTATTTTTTGTGTTTATTTGAGTGTTAATGATATATGCAAGCTCTAAGTTTGGGGAGGTGGTTTATTTGTGAGCATTCATGATTTATTATGTGATTATATTTATGCCCTTTAGAGTTTGAATTCTTAGATTGTTGCATGTTATTTGCTTGTATTTGAGCATGAGATTGCATGTACGTGGAAATTTGCGATGATGATATGACAGTCGGTTTGAATTTATTGTGCTAGTTTAAATGGCTTGAGTTAATTTTATTTGGTTAAAT